TTACAGCAGCACTGGGGCTGCATCAGGAAGGGAGGGACACGTGCAGGGAAAGCGGGTGGGGGGCTGCAAAGGGTGCGAGAGGGAAGGAAAGCACCGCAGACCACCAGCACCTTCGGAGGAGCCAGGCGCCTCAGGGGCTGGGACACAGCTGAGCAAATGCTGATGCGGCCCCTGCTCGAAGCGGAAGAACCCCACAGGGTGTTATCATTCCACCCCCAGGTAAGGTTCTGAGGGGAGGGCGGCGCCCTGGAGGAGGGACCCTGACCAAGGAGAGCTGCCTGGAGGAGGTGGCATCTGAGCGTGCTGGGCCAGGAGCAAACCCAAGGCCTCCTGTCAGGACCCCTCACATTCCAGAGCGGAAAGGAAGCAGGCTGGGGAGAGAAACGGAGCTGCAGGGCCCAGGCCTGGGCAAGGCCGTCGCCGTTGGGGACAGAATGACACGGTCAGGTTTAGGTTACGGAGCGCTCTCCTGAGGGGGAAGTTTGGAGGGGATGCGAGGAGACCTGGGAGGGGTCCTGCAGGGGCAGGGCTGGCGTGGAAACGTCAGCGTCAGCGTGGGCAGAGTCTCCTGGACAGGAGAGGAGCCGGTCAGCTGGGGGCGGGGAGGGAGGCACCACACCCCAGGTGAAGGCAGAGGAAGCGGGCGGGGGTGGGCTAAGCACCGTCCCTGGGCTCCTGTAACCAGTACGAGGAGAGCGACGTGGAGAGAGCTGGGTCGGGGTGAGACGTTTACAGGTAAAGATCTGGTTCGAGCTGTGACACGGGATCGCGAGGTTCTTTACTTCGTGGGCGTGGGGACCCACCCGGCTAACACTGCTTACACCTTCATTAACAACACAGACACCCCGGGGGTTCTGAATCTCACAGCCTACTTTTGTACTTTCCTCAGCTGAATTTCAAAACAACCCACCAAGCTGAACGGAGATATGTCTGACTGCCTCAGGGGAAAAATTACACCGTGTTACGTCTGCATCTCTTTCCTTTTGTGAGTACCTCCTGTGTCTCGGTCATTGTGGGTCCTCAACACTCGTCCCATTTCACAGCTGGGGCGCCAAGTGCAGAAGGGCCGGCAGGAAACAGACAAGTCAGAACTGGGCCACCCCCTGGGGCTTGAAGACCACTGTTCACCGTTCTTCTCACTGACAGTTCCCAGAACTACCAACTACGCAGTCAAGAATTTTAGATTTGGGATATTTTTGGTTTCTTTTTCTTACCATATTTTAATACACAAAAAATGATTATTTTCACTCCTTAAGGCATCCCCCCCTCCCCCACCAATCTTAAGTGATAGTAAACCCATCACACCAAAGACCGTCTTTTAAGACAAACAAACGAAAGGATGGATGGTGTCCCGGGAGGGCTGTCCAGGAAGGGTTCCGCACAGAGATGCGGCCACACCTGAACACGTCATCGAGACATGGCCCGAGAGTGGCGCCGAGTAACTACAGTCTGCACTGCCACCGTATACACAGAACCGCCCCCCGACATTCTGGAGGTCTCCCTTCTCCAGCAAGGGAGGGAGAAACCGCAGAGATGGGCAGGACCCACTCCTGGCTGCCCACGAGCACAGAAGCAGCCACGTGAGCTCTGAGGGGCGCTTGGGCGGGGCGGGGCGGGGTGGAGGGTGGAGGGAGACCAGGGCTGGACACCCCCCTCCCGCGGCTGAGAGGAGCCCCCCTTCCCGCCCCCCCCCGGCTGCCGGCGCTGGCGGCTCTCCCACCGTGGTGAGGGGTGGCGGAGGGCGGGCAGGCTTCCCTGAGGGCTCGAGCGGCAGGTGTCTGAGAGGAGAAGGACGGCACCCGGCCCGGCAGGGCAGCCTGGTGCAGGGGCCTGGGGCGGCACACGCTTCCGAGGCCTTGCCCAAAGGGGCCCCTTCTTCCGGACTCCACTGCCCAGGCCTTACCCTTGCCCGGAGGAGGGAGGGCGCAGCGCGCGGCCCGACGCCCCTCAGCGCCCTCCTGACAGCCTCCCCCGATCCACAGCCTTTGCTCTGCTTCTCCCCGGGGGCGGCCTCCCCGCGGCGAGCACTGCGGCTGACGCCCCGATCTGGTGAGTGCGCCCCCCCCCATGCGTTCCCGCGCCCCCGCCGCCACGACCCGGGTCATCTGCCGCTGTGGGATTCCCACCCCAAGGCGGCCTCCGCGGCCTCTGCACCGAGCCCCAGGGAGCAGCCACCAGTGGGACCCGGGCTTCGCCCCACCTTGGTGGTTCCAGGTGATCTGTGAGGGCACGGGGGCCGCGGCACATGCTCACGCCGTGGGTTTACTTCCCCAAACTCGGTCTGCGCGGCTCGGACGACCCTTGTACAGGAACGGGTCCCCGCAGGACATAAGGGCTCGTCTCCTTAGGGGGACATCCCTGCCCAGCGCGCCTCATAGCTCCCAGGTTTTCAGCTGTAAAGGCGGTTTGGCCTCTGCTGACAGGTGAGCAGTCCCCTCTGCTTCACATGCAGCCTCCATCCTGTGGTCACTTCCTGTCAACCTAACTTGAAATTACTTTTAAATCGTCCTTGGAGGACCTGGGATGGCTGCCCTGCCCTTCATGCGTCTTGAATAATCCATCCAGTTTGTAAAGAGGATGAAAATGCAAGTGGCAAAGGATTAAACTACAGCCCCGTCTGTCAGGAAATGTACGAGCGAGGTCAGCCGCGTCATCCCTGCCAATGTCAGGGAGGAGATGGCATGCTCCTTCTCCTTTTAGGAAGAACCAAGCATACAAAAGTCCTTTTTCTAAAAAAAAAAAAGAAAAGAATAGTGTCGGATTCTTGTCAGTAAATAGTTGATCCATTAAGGCTTAAACTGAGATCTGGTGAAATCTTGCCCCGGAGAATCCCAAGTTACCAGTTAATCTGACAACAGAGGCAGAAACCTCCGTCCATCCGTGGAGGGAGGGTGGGAGAAGCTTCTGGAGCATGTCTCCCCTGTGATACACAGGGAGTTCTGGACATAAGGCTGTCGGCTGCACCACAGATCTTCCATCCGACGGAAACAGCAAAAGAGAAAACGGGAAATCGGCCAAGATAAGATAATGATCCTTTTCTTTAACCCGTGCTTGTAGCAGGTAAGTGTTCAGGTCCCAAAGGTGAGGCCAAGGAAAAGCCCTCAGGAAAGTGAACTCTGGATGCAGAGAAGAAACTGAGAAGTGGCTTCGTATTACAGGAAAGTCAGCAAGAACAGGAGGAGACACCCGGCGAGGTGGGTCTCCCTCCACCCAGGCGCCGCCCACTCGCGCTGGGTTTCCTGTGGTGCTGAGGACGGTAGGCCTGGGTGGTCCCGCTCCAAAGTTCATCGTCCTCTGCTCTCCGTTGTTCACGCGGACCCGAAAAGTCTTCCCAATGATCAGAATCCTTTCCCAGCACTCTCACGGGGCCTCAGTCTCCTGTGTGTGCAGCTAAGCCCCGGGCCCCAGACAGGAGCAGCCCCATGCCCTGCGCCGGGGACCAGCCCTTGGGCATCAGGACATCCTGGCAGGAGGAAAGGTGCTCAGAGCAGCTGCACAGTGGTCCCTCCAGTGACCACGCACACACACACAACACAGAGATGCACACATACACACACACACACACACACGGACACGTACACACACATGCACACACACACATGCACACACAGCCAGGCACATACATCCTACACACACATCACACACATACATGTGCACCCGTGTATACATACATGCACACAGACACAAATACAGCCATATGCACACAACACAGATACACACAGACACATACAGGCTACACACATACACAGAAACATACAATACACATACATGTCACACACACACACACGACAGCAACGTTTGCTGAGAAAGGGAAAACCCACGGCACAGGTCAGACCGGGCAGCAGGCTGCTGGAAGGGTCTGAGTCAACAGCACCATCCAGGCCCCCGTGCGCGCTGTGTCATGTGTGGCTCTGACACACGCAGCGGGAGTTCCAGTTCTGAGCAAAGGGGCTCAAGGCAGACAGAGTGCGAGGAACACGGCCCGGAGGTGTGGAGGCCGGAACGGGCAGGCGCATCTTCATGGAAAGGCTGGAGGAACGAGGCGTCAGTGCTGTGGATGCCTCCAAACCCAGGCGAGAACGCCATCTTCAGTTTCACGGGGCCCTGACACAGGGTCTGTGTCTGTGGTACAGGCGGCGTTTGCCGTGTGCGGTGCAGCGACGGTGAACACGCGCGGAGGTGAGAGCGCAGAGGCCGCGGAGCCAGCAGGAGAGACGGAGCCCCTCCCCACGGGGAGTAACCACTGAAGCACTCGAGCCGGACCAGAGGCACAGGATGACACAGAAGCAAAACCGCGGGTGGACGTGTGCGCACACCTGCACACGCACCAGCACACACCTGCACACACACACACGCCCGTGCATGCAGCCAGACACACGTGTTTTCCCTTGGAATCCCCACTTCCATTCCTTGAAGAAAACGCACCGTTACGAAGCGTCAAACGTCAGGTTCGTTAGTGAGATGACCTGAAGAACAATGCCGACCACTTGTCACTTGCTGGGCACGTGACATTGATTCTGTCCCTTGTCACGCTCAGCACAAAATTAAGGGGAGGACAGAACACTCCATGGTGTGCGGCACGTTTTTCCCTCGGAAGAGTGACTCACCCTAGTATACGGACGACTTGAAGCTTCTGGAGTTCTAGCCAACGTGGGCTGCCCGGGGCGCCCCTTGCACCACCCATCCTGCCTGAGACACCCCGGCTCCAGCTCCAACAGGCACCCTGTGGTCTGAGCTGCAGGTGATGGCGCCAGGACCAAGGAGCCGGGCAGGGTTTTGTTTGGGGTTTATTTGGTGGAGAATCACCCTCAAGCTCGGGTTCCCGGTCCAGAACATGGGGTCAGGGGGATGGCTGGTTCCTGGCTGCCCTCCCACACCTGCAAGACCAGGGATGCCCACCCTCCACCTCCAGGTGAAGATGGGGAAAAATATGAAAGCGTTTCCCCAGCCTGCACAGGGCCAGGATCTCACCCACGGAAAGATGAAAAGCTCCCACTCACTCGTTTTCCGTCACAATGTAGCCGTACTCCTCCTGGGGAGGTTGGACTTCCAGCCGCAGGCCTTGGCCAGGGGGTCCCCGGGCCCCGGCGCCGGGGTGCTGGTCCTCCTGCGGGGCCGCCGGAGCCCGGAGCTGCGATGCCCCAAGCCCGCCCGGCCCCGGCTCTGGGTGCGGCGGCCTTTGCAGCAGCTCCTTGGAGTAGGTCTGACTCTTTATGTTCTCCACCCCAACGCGATCCTCCTCTGAAGACGGGGAGGCCTCAGGGTCCTCCGATTTCTTGATCTCCGTCTTGAAAGACCCGGCAAGATGGGGGGCTCCAGGCAGGAATGGAGACCCAGGACCCTGCAGGAGGTCCCCGAGTTTGACGCCCAAACTGCTGACCTGGCAGAAAGGAAACCAGCTTAAGAATGTGCCCCAAGTCACAGAGAGGCATCAGCACCAGACTCTCGGGGGAGCAGGCACTGGGGAGCGGGCACTGGTGTACGTGAGCCTGGGGCTGGGAGTGGGCCACACGGGGCAAGTTCAGGGTCCGGCCGAATGCATGTCGTCTGGAGACCCCAAGCTCTGCTGGCCTCTCCCTCTGCGTCCCAAATTAGGAAACGTGTCCCTAGACCCCATGGCTCCCTCCGCAACTCGGATAGCTGAACCCTCCACTTTTTATTTCTGATGGACATTTCAAAGAATTGTTGGTGTTTTCTTCACCACGTGCTAACAGGCACTGAACCAGGAACCACTAACATAACCTGACAAGAGAAGTACTAACCAGAAATTCTTCTTTTCCACCCACAAAATAGAGTTTCATAGAACCACATAGTGATGTGGTTGATTGATTTTGGTTGATTGATTTTCTGTATCCTTAAGACTAATACAAATGAGCAAAGGTTCTTCAACAGGGAAAACCAACAAAGCGCTCCGTGGGTGGGCGTCGTCCACCGCGGGTAGACGTGTGCGCACACATGCACACGCATCAGCCTCTTCCAGACCCCTCTGGGCCAGCACACTGTCGAGGGGCCCCTTGGCAACGACAGAGGAGCAGTGGTCTCCCCTTCCCCTCACAGTTACTAGGGAGCATGGGACGTGTGGCTGGCACAGCTGGGGAACTGAAGTCTTATGGACTTAATTTTAACGGGTTTAAGTTCAAGCAGCCACGTATGGCTGGTGGCGACCACCATGGACAGTGCCATGGGTGTAAATGATCCAGAGCCTGTGAATGTCCGTTAAATGCACCTCAGAAACCAGGACACGCGGGATGACCTCAACGACACAAAGTGGGTGTGAAGTCTTATCATGCGGTGTTATCCTCCCGTTTCCCTGGGTGGGTGGGGAGATGGTTCTGAGGAATATTAATTTGAGATTATGAGGGTTTTTCTATCTTTTTCTGGAAAAAAATTTTTTTGTATTTCACGTACGTTCCCAAACTATGGACAAGAAAACTAACGTGACTCTGGGTTTCACAGGACCCGAACACGCCCCATCTTACCTCCTGGTAAAATCCTGCACCACTGTCTCGCACTCTGTTATCTGTGAAAGACACGAGCTCATCAAAATCCCAGCCCAACATATATACACTACCAAAGGTAAGGCAGATAGCTAGTGGGAAGCAGCCGCATAGCACAGGGAGATCAGCTCGGTGCTTTGTGACCGCCTGGAGGGGTGGGATTGGGAGGGTGGGAGGGAGGGATACGCAAGAGGGAGGAGATATGGGAACATATGTATATGTGTAACTGATTCACTTTGTTATAAAGCAGAAACTAACACACCATGGTAAAGCAATTATACTCCAATAAAGATGAGAAAAAAAAAATCCCGGTCCAGCATGTCAGCACAAAGGTCACAGGACATACAGGGTGACCACTGAGTAGGTCAGGCACAGTGAAACTGGCCTCATTCCCACGACAACGAAAACCTCCACTTACAGTACAGAGGTGGCGCTCCATAAAGTCCACGACAGAGGAGGGGTGACACACTAACTCAGACACGAAGTCAGTCAGTCAGTCACGATGTCAGTTCCAGGGAACCACGTATTATCCTCAGGTAGCTCAGAGCAAGGAAGAGCCGCTGAGCCAGGCGCAGTGCGCAGTTACAAAAAAGGAAAGTGAAGTGTCGAACCCACACATCTCATGCTGAGATGCCTCCAAACTGGTTATTTTCCTGTGGTGGCCACTCCTCTAAAGACACACGCAGGAGTCAGTGTGTGGCTCCTGTGCTCCTGCAGACTCCCCCAGCCCCGGGACAGGGACCATCGCCCCCCGGACCATCTCGTCCGAGTAGCAACCCAGCATCTTTTCCTGCATCAGTCAAGCCATGCTTCCAGCTTCCAGGCAAGCCTCGTCCCAACCCACAGAGGAGGGAGAGACATGCACCTTTCACCTGGCATGTTCCTGGGCGCCTACTGCATGCAGCGCACTGCATTAGATGGTTTAATGTAGCTTCCGCAACTTTGAGAAGCGGTCAGGCGGGGGAGATGGGGCCTGCCCTGCTCGGCCCTCGCACAAGGTTCCCTGGTGGCTGTTAGTGGGTGTATGTATGTGTGAGCGTGTGTGTGAGTGTGCATGTGCCAGGGTGTGAGCGTGTCTCTGTGTGTGAGTGTGCATGCGCCGGGATGTGAGCGTGTCTGTGTGTGTGTGTGTGTCAGTGTGCGCCAGTGGGCGTGTGCCAGGGTGTGGGGATCTCTGCTTTCTCGCTGGAGCAGCCTCAGAGGCTGGTGTGAGCCTCAAACAGACATTTGAATGAACCTCTTTCACTTTATCATTCAAATATTTGCCTCCACACCGTGCTCACTCACACAGTCCGGACAAAACCTCTTTCTCTCGCTCCTGCTTTTGCTCACCCGGAACCTCACACGGAGGCACCACAGCCCCCTCCTCCAGAGAGCAATTCGCCCTTCAGCGTAAGTGCTCTGGAAGGCTCAGCCTGCGGAGGAGGCTTTCAGAGGCAAAAGTTCAGACAGACACAAATCGTTAACATGAATCCCACCTCGCAGCAGAAAGAACGCAGCCCAGCACACCACGTGCACATGTGGCGAGCAGCCGGGAGGCACTCACCTGGCACGCCGTCTCTGTGGCGCGCGGCCCCCGAGCGGCCCGCCTGGCCTCTCGGCCCTCCGCCGCCTCTCCCGGCGCCGTCCTGCTCCCCTTCCGCGCGCCCGCCTGGCATCGCGCTCGCTATCGCACGGGCTGCCTCGGCCACATCGAGGGCGCTCAGACCCTCCACGCTGCCCGGGCGCTCCCGCAGGTCCTTCAGCAGAGCTTGAACACGTGCCCCTAGACGGCACACACGAAACAGACAAAAACCGAGACAAGGGACAGCGTTAGAACGAGGACACAAGGATGCAGATGGGTGGCAACGGTGAGCGCAGCAGAGGGACGGGAGCAAAAAGGGCCACATGGAATTCTGCAAGTGAAGAGTTCAGTATTTGAAATTTAGAAGCTCACTGGGTGGGCTTAACCGCAGATTGGATGATGGAGAACAAAGAGCTGGTGAATTTGAGGACAAACAATGGAAACGATTCTCATCCGTGGAACAGGGAGAAAGGACTGGCCACACCTCGGCAACGTGGCACAGCTTCAGGCGTCACGAGTGTGACTGGGTCTGAGAGGGAAAGGAGAGAGAGAAGGGGGCAAAGAAAACAACCTCCACAAATGCCCCGAAATCGGTGAAGAGCATTAACTCAGAGATTCGAGGCACTCAGAGAGCCACACGACGGCCGCTCCCAGCCGAGTTCACAAGGCCACACAGAAAACTGAGGTAGAGGAGACGTTAAATCGGCCAGAGGCGGGGCCAGGACGGCAGTGCCCCAGGACACACCCAGCGCCCTGTAAGCATGACATACGTGACATGATACACAAGTACACACTGGATCATTTACACATGAGGGATGCATTTGAACCACTAAAAGAAAAGGTGTCTAATTCAGAAGTCTAGATTACACAGTGAAAATATCCTTCAAACGTGAGAGTGGAAGAAAGACATTTTCATATTATTGAAAAGAAAAGAGTTACGATGGTCCCTCACCCTGGACCTGCAGTGCAGGAGATGCTAGGAAAAGCTCTGCCGGCTGGAGAGCAGTGGGGTGGCCCCGAGTCCCCCACAAGGTTTGCCGCAGGGTGGTGACAGCCCCGGCCTTGATTCCGTGTCAGCCAGGAGCTCCTGAGGCTCTGACCTCTGGGCCTCGCCGGTCCCGGAGAGACTCATGTTCCCGGGGCCGCCCACATGTACAGACAGCAGACACTGCTTCCAAATGCCAACCAACCCACCCAGAGCCCCGCCCCACCCCCAGGGGACTGGCCCCCTGCCCTGTGCACCCCAGGCCCGGGTCCCAACAACTAGGGGCTGCCCCTCTGCCCCAGAGCCGCTGACGTTATTCACGCCAGCCGGTGCTGCCTCGCCTGCTCCTTCCTGCAAACCCACAGAAAGGCCCTGCCTACAGCTCCCCTTCCTCTGCCCCGTCACCAGCCTGGTGCTTCCCCGGGTGGCCCCTGCCTCTGGGAAACCACCTTTTTCATGATAACCCTCTCCTGATCTGTTGGTCTCACCACACCTGAACGGTAATAAAACCTGCACTTCGAAACAGCTTCCCGTGGAAGGAAATGCAGATGGATGACTTCCCTGTGGCTGCTGCCTCCGTGGTCCTTGACCCCGACCTGAGCCCCTGGGGAGGGCACTGCCCCCCTGCATCCCCACCTCCTCCTGCATCCCTCCCCCCACAGTCCCGTAGACACGTTTAGGGACCAAACGCTTGCCTTATAAATAACTTCCAGCAGTGAACCTGGAAAAATATTTCTCACTTCCTCATAAACAGAAACATTGTAAAAACACAGAGAAGCGTGCCTGACACAGAACAGGGCGGGAGGCTGAAGGTTTGAGGGATCCCAACCACACACGGCGTCAGAATTCCTGCTTTTCTGGGCTGACAAAGGGCACATGTTGCTTCGTAGAAAAGAGAAAAACTAAGGTAGAGTAAACAGTAAGGAAAACAACACCTAGCTGTTTATTAAGCCTCTAGCATTATAAACACATCAACTTTCAGGGGTCTGTACTGTCGCAGCCATGGCCTAAAAGGTGAGGAAACGCAATGCCCTGAAACTAGACGCCGAGGCTTGGCCCCTGCAGGCGTGGTCCCTGCCAGGGGCCACAGCATGGCAGAACCCACCATGGCGTCCCAGGACACCGACCAAGGCAATGGAAATGGATCAGTACATTTACGAGACATTTTTTAACAAGTGTTGAATCCAAAATGTGTTTCTGCGGAACGCAAACTTAACCAGGAAATTCAGCTGGGGAGAACGTTCCATTCCCCAGGGCCTTGGTTCACTGAGGATCTGCTCCTGTTCTCCGCTGGACCATCCTCAACGCAGAGCTGTGTCCCTCCTAACAAGGGTCCAAGAGGTGGACTCCCTGCCCCGACTGTGCCCTGCGAGGATGTTTCACCACCTCGCAGTTAAGCCCCTGAATCGCACTGTTGGCCGGTTTCAAGGGGTCCAGAACATGTCCTTCTAAGAGTCCACTTTCTCTCCGATTCCAGATTTAGGAACAGGACCAGTGGGATTACTGTGCTAGAACCGTCATGCGAATGGGGGCACACGGGTGTCAGGGTGACAGTTCAGACCCTGGGTAGCAAGTCGCCGCGGACTGAACTGTGGCTGAAGCAGGCAGACTCTCCTGGGCACGGCCTGGCCTGTGGGCGGCCGGGTCCACATCTGCTGACGCCCTGGTGCTGTCCTCTGTGCAGGGGGCCAGGGTCTGTCACCGCCCTGTGACCTTTTTGCCCACACACGTCCCTCCCCCCAGCTGCTCTCAGGCTGCCTGGGTGGGAGACACACATTCCAGGTCATGAGGGAGGTGGATAATCAGTGAGGGATTCAGGCCTCCCAGAGGGTCTCAAACCTAAACGGCAGAGCTCATCAAGAGCAGGAACTCTCCTCCCACCCTTCGTTCTTTCCTTCCTTCCACAAATGTTCGCTGCACATTTTCTGTGCTCAGCTACCTGTCAAGGTGCAGGAATAATGCAGTTAGCAAAGCACTTGCTTCCATGGAACGTTCATCTATAGCAGAAGAAACAGAAAATAAACAATTAAAAACAAACACATACAATGTCTGGTGGTGATGGGGCCGTGGGAACAATAATGCAGAGCGTGGAGGATGGGGCAGTGGGGAGGGACGATGCTGTGTTAGACAGGATTGTCGGAGAAAAGCTCAGAGACCCAAAGAAGGGAAGTCCTGAGCCCAGGGACTATCTTAAGGAAACGCTCTGCGGGCAGAGGACACAGCAAGTGCAAAGGCCCTGGGGCAGGAGCACTGGAAGGACAGGAAGGCGGCCAGAGTGGGTGACCTGGAGCGGCCAGAGTGGGTGACCTGGAGCAACAAGCAGGGTGTGAAAGTCGGGGGCACTTTACAGGGTCTCAGACCATGAAAAGGACCTGGATTTTTGCTGAGTGGGATGAGAAGCCCTTGCTGGGTTTTGAGCAGTGAGTCGTCATCTGGTTTACAATTTTAAGAGGCCTGCAGGCTTGAGACAAGGTCAGAGCCGGGAGGCCGGAGGAGGCTCCTGCAGGAACCCAGCTGGGGATGGCAGTGCAGCAGGCAGAGCTGGCGGGAGCCTATGTGTTTCTATGGCAGGTCCAGATGGACCGGATGTGAGGTTCAGGGGACGGAACAGAGCCCAGGTGGGTGACAACAGACAGCAAAGCTGGAGGAGCTGTGTGAGGTCAGCTCCCAACGTTGGGGGAGCCTGGGCAGGGGTGGAGGCTCTCGGCAGCCCCTCAAAGCATCCCACCGGGCGATGTTTTGTTTTAGGCAACCCAGGGCAGGAAGGATGTTGGTCAAACACAGGGCAAGTCAGACCAGAAATCCTAAAAGACCCACCACAAACAGAGGGTCACGATCTGGACAAAGTGTGCTCTGCAGCCAGCCACACCCAGGCTCCAGTCTCGGGGTCTGTCTGTGTAGATGGGTCAGTAACTCCCACTTGAAGGGGTTATTGAGAAAACGAAATCAAATGTTTAGACTGTCTACCACATCTAATAACCAAATAAATAGCTGAGGGGAAGTTGTGCCCCTCCTCCAATAATCTGTGCTGACATTTAATAACTCAGAGAAACCCTCCCTACAGTTACCTCATGTCCTTTCCCTTAACTTCCCTCAGCTCTATTCTCCTTATTTGGAGGGAAGAGCAGAAATAGACCTGCAGCGTGAAAACACTCACGTTCTTTAAGATAAAGACCAGAGAACGGGAGAGACTTTCCGTGGGCCTAACTATAACAAGAAACATCCATCTTCAAAATGGTACAATAAAATATAATTCCTAAAATTGTCTCCTCTCATCCAAAAAAGAAACTTTTCAGATTACCATTAGTGAAAAATAACTAAAAAACCCATAGGTATACAATGGTACATGCTAAGCAGCTGACCACCTAGGAGGAGAGCAATTAACTCGTGTCAGCGATCACCTCCTGCGTAAGTGCGGTTGACCACAGTGAGTCAGCTCGGAGGCACCCACTGTCAGTCCTCTGAAGATGAGGAGAAATGAGGAAATCCTCTTTAAAGAGTGTAGCCAGCCCTGGTGGACTGGAGGGACCGTGGCGCAGAGCACAATCAAATACCACATGCATCAAAGTGAGACGCTCTGTTCCGGCTGCCGCACCATGTAATTCTGGGATCCGGCCGGCTTATAATGACATTTTAAGTAGCTTTCAATGTGCCAAGTGGGCTCTAGCAGAGCAATTACATGAAATGTCAGGACATCAAATATGTAAGGCCTGGAGTAGGAGATCAGCTCCCATGAACAACTGCTGCAGGCCTGACCTACAGAAATTATATGTCTTAATAGGGTCCCCCAGACAAATGCTACAAGCTTTAGAGAATAAGCAATGGTGTGCAGTTAACCTCACACAAATCTGCTTCCACAAAGAGGATGTGAATCATACACAACAGTTTTCGCTCCTAAGTGCCTTTATCACCACGTGTACATGAAAGTACACAGTTTAGGCACATACAAACACACACATCACCACCATAATCACCACCATCACCATTGTCACCGTTACCACTCTTATGACCCTCATCCTCGCTGTTATCACACTCAGGGGAGCAGCCTAGACACGTGCTGGGTGGCAAATGCAGACCCCACAGGAGGAAACTTCCCAGGAAGGGCTACCGGGGCAGCCCCTGAAACCCGTCTACATTAACTAAATGGGCTGAATCAGCAAGGCATTTGGATCCCATTCCTGGAAACACCCTCTGAATGTGAGAACTGCCGAGCTCC